GTGTGTGTGTGTGTGTGTGTGTGTGTGTGTGTGTGTGTGTGTGTGTGTTCTGCTGATGGTTCTTACACTGTTAACAAACCCGGTAGTTGGATTAGAAATGAGCATGGCCATATTTTATTCCTGGTTCTCTAGAACAGGACTAGGGCCCAGAAGCTGGATGGGGGTCACCTGTTGGGGAACTTGTTAAGGGAATGCCTGTGTAGGGATCAGTTGAGTTCTAGGGCTTCTGAGGATACTTCCACGGCTGAAACTTGATCGTTTTTTGTTCATCCTGTTCCCCACTCTACCCACGTGGAATCTTCCCCAGTATTTGAGGCTCTGCTCAAATGCCACCTCTTTCATGAAGACTTCCTAGATTCCCTGCCTCCTTCTCATGTCCCAGCCAGTCATTTGCCTTTGGAAAACCCAGAGGCCTGCATTCCTCTCCTATGCCAGGTGATGCTCCCTTGGCATTATGCCTCCTACTTGGCAATATTCCTCCTGCTAAACTGGCAGCTCCCTGAGGGCAGGGGTTGAATTTTAGATATCCCTGTTTCCCAGCATCTGTCCCTACACAGTGGAGACAAGGGATAAATGCTCACTACCTGACTGACAGATGTCACTGGCCCAGTGGAACACGCCAAGCTACAGGCTGACTGAGTTCTGCTATAAGTGAAGTGGGCACTGGGGCTGGGAAAGATAGAACAGAAGAGCCCAGATAGAAACTGCAGCAATACTACCCCCAGCTCAAGCCATGCGGTGGGTCAAGACCACATGTGGCTCCCAGCCCTCCTGGATCCTGTCCCGCCCCGGGTACCCCATGCCCATGGCTGCCCCAACATGTCCCAGCTCCCTTGGCATTGCCCTGGTCTCCAAAATGACTTTCTATGTCCCCCAAAGCCCATACCCCCAGCCCTTCAGGGTTTGGTTTTCTGGGACCTATAAAACTGATTTTTATTCAGTGGTGAGTGACTGACACCATCATAATGTAGTTGTCCCACTAAGGGTACTTGCATTTTAAAAGGAGATGTCTCAGGAAGTAGCAAGGAATGATTCATTGATGGTGGAATTTCAGGCCCCTTATAAAGGACTTGGGAGCTTCCGTTGTGGGCCCATCTTGCTCTGGCCCCCAAGGCTTCCTTTTTCCCATCCCCAAGGCCGAGTGCAGCCAGCCAGAATAATACTCCAGTTCTTTGGGTTGGCATTCGAAGTCCTCCCACACATCTGACCAGAGGCCCCCTCCCTCCCCCAACTCTCTTCCCGGTCCCATAACCAGATTTTTGCCATGCCTGACTCTCCTCCTGCTTCCCCAACCCAACTCTCCCATCCTTGGGGCCCAGCTCCTCCCAGAAGCAGCATCATTATTGACAAGCAGCAGCCCAGGGAGGTGACTACTACAATAGTCTTTGTACCCAGTTTCCAGAAGCGCCCAAGGCCACGCAGCTGGTGACTGTCAGAGCTCCAGGCCGACTGTAACTGTCTATATTCCAGGTCTAGGAGTCTCCCTACTGGGCCCCGTGGCCCAGATACGACTAGGAAGGTCAACATTGTATCCAAAGATGCGGGGACTCAGACCTTGTGTATTAAACAACCTCGCCCTTCCCATATCGACTTAGGGACTGGCCTGTCAGCTCCTCCTCCTCCAGAGGCGGGGAGGGGCTGTACCTCTGATGTCTGTTGTGTTTCCCAATGTGCCTAGGACAGTCTGGACACATTCCCGGTGCTCAATAAATGCTTACACATGTCGGACAGACTGAAGATGCCTGGAAAGCTTTCTTTGTTTGTTCTGGGATAAAAAGGAATTGCAATCCTGGGCATCCTTCTGAGAGTCCTTGGGGACTGCATGGGTGCTACCAGCCTGGGTCCCAGAGGATTTCCCTCTGAAACACAGGGTCCTCAGGGAAGTGGACCCCTCTAGTCCCTTCTCAGCCTCCTGGGCCTCGAGGCTGACACAGGACTCACCCCTTTGATGCCTACCCACCACAAATTACCATGAGGCAGATGACTCAGAACAAAATTGACTTTTACTTCAGATCAGAGTATCAGAGAACATAGAGTATCTGAGTTGGGAGGGCTTTTAGAACACAGAACATGGGATGTTCCAGCTCTGTGAGGGCATAGAACTCAGGAGACGATGCAGGCTCCTACCACACAATCATCAGCTGAAGAATCGAGGCTATTTAGCCTGGAGAAGAGAAGATGCAGGGTGAGCACCCATCATCCCAGCCAGCTGCCCCAAGTATCTGTAGGGCTGGCCTGGCAAAGAGGGCTTTGCTTC